GTTGCAGCTGCCTCTTTGGCCTTCCTCGATGTCCTTCTCAATTCTTCTGGTCTTTTCTCATTAAAGCCTGCATCCATCCCTCTCCCTGTCTATCTACTTTTAACTTCACTTTACCTAACCTTTTATCTCCCTTCTTGTTTTCTGCCTTTGATATAATAACTAAACAACCCCCCATTATACTCTGCTTTAACTTCTGCTTATTCTTTGAAACTCTCTTTAGGTTGTGACTGCAACAGCTCGAGAACATAAAACTTATTAATTAACCAACTCTATAGGCTATTCCCATATGCTCAAACAAATAGCCTCCTGTTGGTAGCCTGCCATTAACTTAAGAATTCTTTAGGCAAATATTAACAGGAGCCTTGCTAGTGGTTATATGTATATATATAAGCTTTTCAAGATGAATTATATTTTAAAAATATAATTTATTTTATGAATTAATTTAAATATTATTAATAAAATAGTATAAAAAATAAATTTATTAAAAATATTTAAATAAATTTATAAGATAAATTATATTTTTAATATATAATTCACTTTATAAAATATTTTTTTAATATATATATCAAAAAATATTTTATAATTTAAATTATAAAATATTAATTATCTGATAAAGGAAGAGTCTTTAATATTGAAAACTCTTTCTCCATGAGATGATTCTTGTTTTATAACTATAAAATAAAAAAAGAGAGGTTCTTTGTGGATTGAGGAACAATTTGAAGAGCTTTACCATTTCGGTAGAATAATATGGAGGGGCTGTTTTACTGGATTCTGGGGGGGAAGATTTTGCCTTTATGGGGACGAAACAAGAAAAGTTATTAAAATAAGACTGCCAAGGGCCAACTAGTACTCGTTCCAGCACTACTATTCATCATGGGTCCCTATTCTGTTTATATTTACTCTGTCTTTTATTGGTTTCAGAAACAGGGGAATCCTTTAATTATCAAGTTGTGTTAATCGAGATATGCTTTTCCCTTAGCAACTTCTGTTTTATTTTCTGATTTTAGTGCTTGTATCATGTGCTACACTAGATTTTTATGTCAATTTCTACACAAAACTACATGAATCTGAATAAATGAGAACTCTTTTTTTTTGTTTTTTTAACTTGTCCTGTCCATTTTTAATTTTTTACCCTTAAATTTAGATGCGTTCATGGCTCTCTAACCTTTCAAAGACAAAAAGGCCAGGCTCACTAATGAAGAAAAAGCCAGCACTAGGTCCAAGTTTTCCGCTTGCTTTAGTTTTGCTCTGGTTTTCTTTAGAGAACACCGTCCTTACACCGAGCTGAAGAAGATCATTTGTGTGTGTGTGTGTGTGTCAATGGCTAATCCAGTTCAATCCCAGGAAGTGGATCCAGATACCCTGAGGAAACATCTTGCTGTTGCTGTTAGGAGCATCCAATGGAGCTATGCAATTTTCTGGTCCTTATCAAAAACACAACAAGGGTATGACTGCCTTTTGTTTTATCTTACATGCATTCTTCAGATGCAAAGGTTTCTATTTCTGGGTTTGAAAGAATTGTGTTGTTGGAATTTAGTGCAAAAGTGTATACCCATTTGCCTTTAATTTCGAGGGTTTTTTTGGTTCTGTCCTAAATGGGAAGTTAGATAGGGGTAATGATTTTTCACCTTTGTCTAGGGTGCTTCAATGGGGTAATGGGTACTATAATGGAGACATCAAGACTAGAAAGACAGTTCAAGCCATGGAACTTAAAGCCGATAAAATAGGTTTGCAAAGGAGTGTACAACTTAGGGAGCTTTATGAATTTCTGTTAGAAGGTGAAATTGACCAAAACAAGAGGCCTTCTGCTGCTTTGTCTCCGGAGGATCTATCAGATGCAGAGTGGTACTACTTGGTTTGCATGTCCTTTGTGTTCAACCCAGGACAAGGGTATTAGTTGAATCCCTTCTCAAATATCTATTGTATATAAGTCTTAATTTTTTTGCTCAATATCCTGCTCATTGTTCTTACGTTGTTTTTGTAGTTTACCTGGAAGAGCATTAGCAAATAATGAAACCATATGGTTATGCAATGCTCACTATGCAGACAGTAAAGTATTCTCGCGCTCTTTGCTAGCTAAGGTTGGTTATCTTTTGGTTTTTGTATGTCCAAAGAATCCAATTGAATTGCAAAAACAAAACTGACCTTTTCTGTGTTTGCTTGTGAACTTGTTCTCAAAAACGTGGCAGAGTGCATCTATCCAGGTGAAAGGATTTTCTTGTACAAACTGTAAATCATTCTCCTCTCTTACATGACACCAATGTTAATGTTGTGAGCTATTTTTATTTTGCAGACTGTTGTTTGTTTTCCCTATCTTGGGGGTGTGATTGAGCTAGGAGTAACTGAACTGGTGATTTCTTCTGTATGGAATTATTCTGATGATTTGAGTTCATAATAGAAAGAAATTCTGATTTATATTGTTTCTACAGGTTCCAGAGGATCCTAATCTCCCTCAGCACATAAAAGCATCCTTACTGGACATGTCAAAGCCAGTTTGCTCCGGGAAATCTTCTCCTCCCCATAATGCAGATGATGACATAGATCCCATCTGTGTTAAGGTTGACCAGGAGGTAGTTGAGACATTGGACTTGGAGAATCTATATTCACACAGGGAAGAAATGAAGATCGGTCCAGAGGAGGGAATTGAGGAATTACACGCAAATATACCTGAAGATTTCACAATTGGCTCCCCAGATGAATGCTCAAATGGTTGTGAACACCATTGCCATACAGAAGATTCCCTCATGTTTGAAGGCTTAAATGGTGTTGGTTCTCAAGTCCAAAGCTGGCATTTCATGGATGATGACTGCAGCAACGGTGCTCATAATACAATAAATTCTAGTGATTGTATTTCTGGAGAAGAAAAGGCTCCTATCTCTTCTCCCAAACAAGGAAGTGTAAACCACTTCCATGTGGAACTTGGCTCTTTGGATCTTGGGGTTGATGACGACTTGCACTACAAGAAAACTCTATCTGTCATCCTGAAATGTTCAAATCGACTGACTGAAATTCCTGGTTTGCATACTATCGGTCACAAATCTGGGTTTGTGAGCTGGAAGAAAGGAGGAATGGGCAATGGTTATAGGCCAAGGTGGCCACAGAGCATATTAAAGAAGATACTAGTTGCAGTTCCTATTATGCATGGTGGTAGGTCTCTTGGGTTTCAGAAGGACAGTGGTAAGAAGCATTACCTTGAGAAATTGGAAAATGATGATAATATTCCCAAAGAACATGAAAACTTCAGAGAGAATGAAAAGTTTCTGGTCCTTAAGGCAATGGTTCCTTCTATCAGTGAGGTAAATTCTTAATCCTAAATCAGATAATGACCTCAGCTCTCTTTTTGTGTTCTTTGTTACTAATCTTAAGGCTGTTTTTGTAGATTGATAAAGCATCAATCCTTAACGACACCATTAAGTACTTGAAAGAGCTTGAGGCAAGGGTGGAAGAACTTGAATCATGCATGGATTCAGCAGACTTTGAGACAAGGCCTAGAAGGAATTACCTGGATATTGTGGAAGAAACATCTGATAACTATGAGAATAGAAAGACTGAAAATGCCAAGAAATGCTGGATAAACAAGAGGAAGGCCTCTGATTTTGATGAAAACTATGAAACTGACACAGAAGTCAATAGGGCAGTTCTCAGAGACAGCCTCATATCAGACTTGAAAGTCAGCATAAAAGAGCAGGAGGTTCTAATTGAAATGAAATGTCCGTATAGGGAATACATTTTGCTGGATATCATGGAAGCTATAAACAACCTGCACTTAGACGCCCACACAGTCCAGTCCTCTGCTCTTGATGGAATTCTCATGCTAACCCTCAAATCCAAGGTTTGTACTCCAGTGTATTCAAAGGGAAAAATGGAAAAAAGAATTGTGATTATGGGAATATATTTGTGTTATTTGACTCTCGTAAACTCTGTTTCAGTTTCGAGGGACAGCAATTGCACCAGCAAGGATGATAAAACAAGCATTACAGAAAGTTGCTGGCAAGTGTTGAGGAAGCTGTATAATGAATAATCAACTGGCTTTTTAGGAATTGACTTTTCCTTTGTTGTGTTCTGCTTCCTAGGTAAGGGGAAAGTTCCATCTACGTGCTAACCTTCTGTTCTTGTCAAATGTTGTACCTTAGTATCATGTAATAATCTTAACTTGGAAGTTGTTTGGTTTTCCTTCATGTTTGTTTCTACATGTAGCTTGTGCCTTCATGGTCCAATAGATCTTTCAAAGCAACCATTTTCAATATCTTGGATTTCAAAATAATGGTTCATGCAAGTCATAACCATGTGACCTGCTGGATGCTCTCGTTTGTACTAAGTCTAAAGGCAAGAATAAAGTTTGCAATAGCAAATAAATTAATCAAAGATTCAGAGAATGCTGTTCTTTGGGTTCTATTTTAAATGCAGAAGAATCCATTCAAATGGAAATCAAGAAGAAAAGGAAATTCTCAATGCTTTTGAAAAGCTACATTTATTATATCTCCGTACATGAGTACACAATAAAGAAATTGATACACATGCAACAATGGAAGTAGAAATTCATTCAACTGCTTCATTCTGCAACCAACCAGCAGCAGGTCAAAGTCTCCAAACAGATTCTTATTCTCTTCAACATTCCAACTTCCGCACAAGAATGCTAAAGAAAAAACTCAGATTTCAGTAGATAATCAGATTCAAATACCGGCAAAGTCCTTAACAGTGTATCCAACCTTTTCAAACCTGCCTTTCTCATTGCTCTCTCTGAACTTCAGGTAATCCAAACAGACAAATGGTTCGTACAGTCTCATGTTTTTCTCTCCAACGACCTCCTCTGGTGCCATTATGATCTTCTCATCCTCAAAACACCAAAAGAAAGCTAGAGAGAAACGAGTCACTTGTCTTTTTAGCACAACTCTGTGTTCTGATGACCTGAACTTGTCATTGCTCCAAGCTTGGAGCATATCCCCTATGTTCACTACAAGGGTCCCCTCGCAGGGCCTTATGTCCATCCACTTCCCTTCCTTTGATCTCACCTGAAGTCCTCCTATTTCATCTTGATAAACAATGGTAACACAGCTCATGTCAGTGTGCATTCCTAGCCCTTCTACTTCATCTCCCTCAGGCGGTGAGTAGTTGTTAATCCTCAAATATCCATGACAATTCTTGAACTCGGATTCATAGTATTTCTTCTGAAAACCATCTCCTAAGCTCACCAGCAAAATCTCTATGATTTTCATTGATAATTTTGTCATTCTCTTCCCATACTCTTGCACTGCCTCACTATAATAGAAAAGAGACAAATCAGAAAAAAATTCGATGCATAAACAGAATGCATAAAAAGTAAGAGAAGGTCATATGTTACCTAAATTCAGAATTCTGTTTCTGAAGGAGAATATCTATGGAACTTTGAGCAGATTTCAGGAAGTTTGGCCCAGATACTCGCAGACTTTCGAAGAAAGGAGAAGCTATGAAATGAGGAGTGTACGTTCCTAAGGAAGACAAGGGACCAAGTTCAAGTTTGGTATCAGAAGGAAGACTGAAGAGTTGGTTTGAAAGCAGATGGATTCTGTTGTAAAGATCTTTGGAGATTCCATGATTTGTTATGAGGAAAAAACCCCATGTTTTGCAGGCCTCAGAAAGGGATGACAAAGAAGATGAATCCAATGGCTGAGACATATCCAATATGGGAAGTTCCACAGCATCTTGGGTTTCAGGCATTGTTCCTGTGTTAAAGAGAAATTAAAGGGAGGAAATTTATAGGGGGGTGGGGAAAGAATGATGAAACATATAATTTATTAGGAATGCAGATCAAGATATGTATAAATTTGTTGGGAATGGCAGAGTTCTTGAACTCTAGACATTTGAATATTTTTTATAAACAAACTCCAATGACAACTAATATTGTCAGCAAGCAAGAATTATGAACTTTTAAAATCCACTTTGAAAGTTTGAGTTGAATGTAACTGAAGCAACGCCAACCAATGGATACGTGGCTTGGTTACCAAGAGACTTGCTTCTTATGATTCCATGACGAGGCCACGAAAGGCATTAATAATTTCTCATAAATACTTTAATTTAATTTTATTTTTTTATTTGATAATAATAAATTATAAAAAAAAGAAGAGATAATTCTTCATTTTTATTAAATTCTTTCTTAAATTAAATTTTTAATTTGAAATCTCAAATTCTTAATTATTGAGTCATTTTTTTTAGGGTACAAGTTAATTTATGTATATTTTAAAGTAATTTTTTTTAGATTTAAAATTTTATAAAAAAAAAGAAAAAAAAAGAAACATTACCGATGCTATCTTTAATTTTTTTCTTTTTTTTGACAGAAACAATGATTAAGAGTTAGAAGTTAAAAATTAAAAATTAATACCTTACTCTTTGATAAAATTCAACCACTGATCAAGGTGCAATCCACCAACAGCCCCTTTTGAACTGCAATAACACCAATAAACTGCAAGAGGGGATTGTGCCCTCTTCATTGTTTTGGTTTCCCGTATTGAGCATTGAGGCATTGATTATTATTGGGCTTGTTAATGTTTATGCGAAGCAAGTTACCTGACGGGCTGGACTTCTGGGCCTTTTTATTTTAAAAGGAAAATTTGCCCAGGCCATACCAGCCCAGACCATCATTTTTCATTGTTGTTAATACCCAAACGAAGCCATAGCCGGCTAGCCCATCAAATCCTACATCAATTCAATTCAAAATAAATAAATAAATAAATTGAAAAGAGAAATTGAAGGGCGGGGAGCTACGCGACTCGACGATCACCAGAAATCAGAGCTTCATCTGTAATCGATTGGTTGCCGATCCGATCGCCTCCAAAAAGCATAGCTTCTCGATAACCAGCACAACGTCGACGATGGCCGGGGACGGGGCGGCGTGGAGGAAGACGGCGGGAATAGCGCCTAGAAGAGATGACATTTTGCTGCTCTGTTGTTTCTCGAGTTGCAGGTTCCAGAAACATCTGTTCCTTTTTTTTTTTTTTTCTTCTTTCGTCTCAAGTTCTTTATTATTTCCCTATTTTAGAAAATACAATTCAGTTCATATAGCTGATAAAAAAAAAAAATACAGTTCATATATATTTAACTTGTGCAATGCAGTCCCTTTACATTACCGACCATGTTACAACATGGGATTAAGGCCAATAATGTTGTGTTTCTCTCTGTTTTGTGTGTGCTTTTTGTCAATTGTGGACTAGAACTGTTTCTGTAATCTATTGATTCTATTCTATGAATGACAAGTATTAACTTGTTAGGCAATGATATAGTTATAGTGTTAGTATAAATGTAAACTTATCATGAAATGAATACATACAATATTGTAGATCCTATATAATAACACATTATGATTGTAAACTTACAATGTCACATTGTCACGTAGCACTGTAAATATATCATTTTCGATTGCATTACTCCAAAACAATATAATTTTGTAACAGAAGTTAAAATTATTATTTATTATTCATGGAGTTTTTTTAAAACATGGAGTTTTGAAGTATGGTAATTATGTTAGGTTTATCTTCCAGTGGCATTTTAAAACCTCAATCCAGTTGAATTAATATTTTTAGGAAATAAACTGTTGAAACTGGCTAGTAATAACTTTCCCATGTTAATAAAAGATCATTACTCCGTGTTTAGTAACCAATTGCTCTCTCTTTTCTTGCAGACACAGGGAAACATCAACTTTGGAAAAATGAGTTTATGCCACAATCTGTCACCCATGAAAGGTGGAACACTTGAAGTATTTCTTGGCGATGCTGAAGACATTAGACACACAAATATTCTGGGTACTTTCTATTTTCTGGCCATTTTGATCACGTACATTGTTTCAAATCAATGTCTTTCTGAAGCACTTCTTTTTGGCACGTACTTTTGGATTTGATCTTGTAGGAACACCAGTCTATTATGTCATTACACAATTGGGAAGTCACGAACACAGAAGCAGGGTATCAAAAGGTTTGTGTCTTGTTGCTCTTTTTCCACA